CATACATACATACATACATACATACATACATACATACATACATACATACAGAAAGAAAGAAAGAAAGAAAGAAAGAAAGAAAGAAAGAACAAAAAAAAACAAAAAACAAAAAACAAATGAAGATTCAAATGCGTTCTCCCTTTACCAACACACACGGAGATTCTTAAACAAAAATGCATCTTTCTAATGTTATCTTTTATCTCGTAACTGCGTCTACGACGTCATGTTTTCGCCCGTCGGTGAGCAATAGGAGAGGGTGCGTTCGATTCTCACACGGAGAAGATCTCTTAAACTCTTAATTATCAATAGCATATCACTCTGCCGTCATTGGTCCGAACATTAAGGGTTGGGCTGAAGCTGCGGGTCTCATTAAACGACCTATCGACTTAAGTTGTGTTACTGGGAGAATGAAAAACTTCACAACAAATTACTCACCGACAATGGCCGATGCGCTGGGAGCTGATCCTAACTGTGACTCGGCGTTTCCGAACAGACCAGCGAAGATGAGACAGAGAAAGAGAAGTAATCCTGCTATGATAGACAGGATAATCTCCCTTATCCCGAAGCTGCACTTGTTGAAGGAAATGACGTGCATGATGGGGGTTTTGTCGAACGTCTTGAACTCGTCCGCCATCTTGATTTCGGGGTAGATCCGCCTTCAAGATGCTGCTGGGTATATTTTAGTTTACTGTTGGTTTAAAAAAACAAACAGGAATGAGAAGAACTCTTAACGTGGATGTTTGGCGGTTGTTATGGTGTGGTTTGTCCTTATTTCCTATTAAACTTCTATCGCCATTATTTCTCCTTCTTGTTTTGTTTCGTTTTGTTTTGTTACTCTCTTTTTACAGATATAATGCGGTCACGAGTACGACCTCTTTGTGTTGAAAGTGCTGTAAAACTTTTTCTTATTGAACTCTAAAAACATCTCACCAGAGGCGTCTACGTCTAGATGTAAGACATTTGACGTGCGCTAAAACAGTTGTGATTTGTGCGTCCACTCATCAGATAGGGCGTTGTTCATAACCTGTTTGCAAAATTTCAGCCCCCTGCAAATGGGTAATCGACAACTGGCTTTCAGTATAATTTGTGAACAGTACGGTAGTGATATGCCTAACAAACGCTGTGTGTCCCTAAATGGGACGAAATGGTAATTTGCTTATAACAGACAGGTCAGGGGAGTTATGTTGCAGAATTATGGACTTTCAATTAGTGTGTGTGTGTGGGGGGGGGGGGGGGATTTAGGACTATAAAAATTATAACCTTAAAGTTAAGTCTACAATGTCATGTTAATGAATATCGAATGGTAAGTTTTAAGAGAAGTCTTTGGTGAATGGTTAGAATTTCACCGAAGGGCATTAGTTCCATTCCAAACTGATGAGGGTATTTTATTTAGGCTGTCCTCCTTTCTGTTCTCTCTCTCTCCCTCCTTCCCTCCAACTCTCTCTCTCTCTTTCCCTGTCTTCTCTCTCTCCCTCTCTCTCACCAGTAAACTGAGACATG